AAACACACAGCGTGATTACTATTTCATGAGACTAATTACTATTTATGCATACCAAAGGCACACACTTGTATGTGTCTGTATGAGATAATGTGTGTGTGTATGACTGTTTGCTCCTGTCTTGATTATACAAAGTAACTGCATCAAACACTCTTTTAAAAAATCCCCCCTCTCTCTGTAATTTAAACCTGGGGCCTCTGAACCTTGCTGTGAATCTTGTCCCTCCTTCACATCTGAAATGGCACCCTCAAAGACATTTCCTCAATGAATCGAGGTTTTAAAAATACTGAGTCAGCTACAAGCCAGACGTTTGGCTTGGCCATGAATTTCATGCCCATTAAAACAACCAGCCTTCCAAAGCTAGAAAATTGCTGAGCTATAATTTTCTGGCTGTCTTGTTCATGGTACAACTTTCCTCAAGATTAACAGCCCCTTCCAAGTCAGGGCTAAGTGAAGCTATGCTTCTCACAGGCACCTTAACTAATTTACAAATAATAGATATTGAGCTAGTGAAATACACTTCAGTCAGACATTACCCCAATAAAGAACATGAGGGCGAACACCAAAGCACTCCAGCTTGTGCATAATGGAATTCCTGGTGGGTTGTCTGAGGAATCTATATAAATATCCAATGAAGTGATAATAATGATAATGACAAAGGGGATAAATATGGTGAATGTAGCTAGCAGAAAAAAAATTAATGAAGATTTACTGGCCTTCACATTAGAAAAAGAGAAGCTACTGTAGAGCTATAGATTTCATTCTAAATTTACCATCATCATTAACTTGTATTAAGCTCATTAACATTAAGTGTATATTACTTGGAACAACATTGTGGGGAATGGAGCAGAAGCAGCATGTGTTATGCAAATACTTGGAAGCTGACCCTGCCTTCAGCTAGCCCAGAGAAATACAGGATATGTACTTGATTGTAGTAATCATGGAAACAGAGAATCTACACAATTGCAGTTCTTCTGTAAAGCAAGGGATCTGGCTGCAAAAGTGGAATGTGATTCCTGAAGTTCTCAACCTTTGCTTTATTGCTTCTTTGGAGTGACTATAATGAGAACCAGGAAGAAATAATGAAAAAGCCAAACTGAATCATTCAGTGGAATTCATTGTGTGAACCACAACTATCAGTTTCCTGAACTTTTTAAAGGTACTGAAATAGCACCTAAAAGATGAAGGTGGATAGTGGTGAAGGAGGGGGGAAAGACCCAGTCTTTCAGTACATCTGTTATTTGGACTTCAAAAGCTGCAATTTCAGAAGGATATAGAAACTCACTTACCCAATTGAGTTTATGGGCAGTGGCTTCAGTCTAGAATAATGTTGAACTTAGTTCCTATTGAAGTCCTATACATGCCCACTCTGAAGCAAGTCCTAGTGAGGTCAGTGGGGTTTACTGCCAGGTTCGGTGTGTATAGGACTGTAGCATAATATAAAACTGGAATTCATTTAGTTTTGATTTACGTCAGTTACCTTGTTTGGTATAGCTCCATATGTTTCATGCATCATTGCAGTAAAATTTCAAATTGTGGTGAATAAAATTGGCAAAAACAAAACAAAAACCCTCAACAAATTCTGTAATGTTGAACTTGTGTCAAGTCTGTTACATTCCCTTCTACTTACATTGCCAAATGAAGGGTATAGGAATTTCCCTTCTTTTGGTTTATGGCTGGGATAATCACTAATGCAGCAACATATTTTAGCCAAGGAGTGAATGTATTCTATGTTAATGTCCAATGGTAAGTTCATACATGAGCCATTGCACAATGTGAAAATATATTTCTGGTGACACTGGGGGAAAACTTGTTGCTCAAATAAGCTATAAATGAGACAGGATTTCTTTAATGATGAGAAAACATGGATTAAGATCTCTAGGGATGTAATGGCAGAATCAATGATAACAATCTTGGATAGAAAAGCCTATTAGGCAGATGGTATCATGCATGAAAAAGTGATCAAGCTGAGAGAAAGAAGGCCAAACCTGCTTATTGTGATAATTAGAAAAGAAAGAGCCCCCAAGGAATAGGAAGACAGTGAAATGCAACATCACAGCTAGAGAGCCAGTGGAGATGATAATATGAATCCAAGAGAAGGTCAGATTACCATAGGATGGATGAAGGCGTATGAAAATGAGTTGTCAGAACTTTGAAAGAGTTTGGTGTCACACTGTGGGACTTCAATTTGCTCTCTGTACGTCTGATCAATAAGATGCTTGATTGGCTGCCTTTTTATTTCCAGTGATAGACTGGTATTCCAATCTGTAGGAAAATGACACACAGGACAAGATAGCATTTTCAAGAAAAAAATATGTAATTTCATCTGAAGAAATATCAGTTCCCTAGCAGGAACAACAAAATAAATAATGAGTGTGAAAAATAAGCTACTGTAAATAAGCATGGAGTAGATACCTGCCTGTAAAAAAGAATTAAATATATTCTGGGCCTGTTCAACTCCTGGGGTCCCTACTTTCTACCTCTGTGATTCTCTTTCTTTCTGAATACAATAGCAGGAAATCTGTTTTAATTTTAAACCAAACAAAATAACTCAAGAGTGGGGAAAACATACCCTGCAACTCCAATATAACAGTTGCCAATTTATTGCTCAGCCTGTTAGATTAAAAGTTGTGAAAAATCCTAAGGGCATGATCCAGCCAAAGTTAAACAATTTAAATCTCATTACAGTAGAGATTTAAATGTGTGTTTTATTTCCCCACTGAAATCAATGGGGCTTAAAGCAGTTTAAGTCTATTTGGATTGTGCCCCATTTGTTCAAATTCTGCAGATTTATTATCTATAGTTATGTGAAATTAAATGAGCTATTTGTCCCAGAATAGTGTTAAAAAATCACACATTTTCTTACATTTAGCATGCCATTCTACCCCTTGTTATCACACGTAAACTAATTTGGCTGCTAGAATGAAATCCTTCAGATTGCTTTTATAGAAACACAGTGCAACTGTGATATAGGTGAGCTCAGTCATGGCAAAATATCTGTTGTGTGCTGTGTGAAAATGGAAGATTTGAAATATTGGGTTTTACCCAATGCTAATCCTACTCAGAGTGAACACATTGAGATTAATGGCCATGACTAGCGTAAGTTTATTAATTTCAGTGTGTTTTCTCTGTGGGCTGTCCAAAACGTACTGGGCTGGAAGGGAAGAAAAAGGTGCTGAAATTTACTTGGAGTCCTGCAGTGATTTCATGCTCTTTATTGCAGCTTGTAAAACAGTGATTGAATCCCCCCCCCCCCACAACCTTAGGCTTTTATATACATTATTTACACAATGAGTCCCGTCTGATTGGCTGATTCTGCTTCCCTCCTGGAGCCTGATTGGTCTTCTCCTGCAGGCCAATCAGTTGTTGCATTCTACAATCCTACCAGCCAATAGGCTGATTAACTTCCTCCTGGAGCCTGATTGGTCTTCTTCAGCAAGCCAATCAGTTGTTGCATTCTAGGATCCTACCTGCCTATTGTTCTAGGGTCCAAGCTTGGTACATAACAGGTGCCAACTTGAGCAGGGTACTCAGCTTCCCCACAAGTCCTACAGTCACTCTACCTGAATGAAACATGTGACTGTCCAATCCTGTTATTCCACCTTTCTCCCAGTCAGTCTGATGGTTTTACATAGACAAATAGGGACCGTGAGTAACCCTTACAGAGCTTCATCAAGAACCAGAGTGTAGACATACACCTATGTTTCCTGACCTCATGTATAAGGTTAGGGCCAAACTATATGTGACATTGTAGCTTGCCATGAGTGCAAGGTTTCCCAGCTCCCAAATACCAGTATGAGGCCCTGATGTGAAATGGGAGCATAGCATGGAGAGTAGGGGACTTTAATCCTTTGCCCTTATGCTAGGGTCTCACATCGGCATTTTTTTATTGGTAAAAAGAAGCTTTTTATGAAGTAAATGTTACATGTACATTTCAACATGTATGTATAGTTCTCTAACATTTACGAAAGAATGTTTAAGCTTTGTCTTAGAGCAGAAATGGTAACATAAGCTATTTGTCCTTATGTGGGACAATAATTATTTTATTGTAAATTACCCTGAAAAAATTATTAAAGGACAGTATACAAATGAGCACTAGTGAGTGCTGATAGTTTCATACATATAGCAGCAGTTGAAAGAAGGTTTCGGCTTTGATTTTAGCCAGCTAACAAAGGAAATTAAAAGAAATGTAGCTCCTGATTTCATCAAAGCTGAGTTCAGAGTAATCTGAAACTATTTCTAATTCTCGTCAAAGGTACTGAATACTCATCTCTAGTTTGAGTGAGTTTCCTCTAAATTGTTAAGTAGGATGCCATCAAATTCTGTATTGTACTTAATACATGTAGTGTAATTAATTTCCCCAACATTGTAAATGCTCTGTATAATTAATCATGCAAAAGAATTCATAATGTACAATGTAGCTTAAGAGGAACTGTCCTTTCATAATGGAGCTGTACAGCATAAAACAATGATCAGGCTGATTAGTTAGAGAAGTCATGACCCAATGTAGGATTATTGTGATTCTTCTTTATGAACCCAGCATTGTAAATAATTTAGTATTCTCTCTAAATCAACTGAATGTGAATGACTACACAAAGGACAGTAAACGAAAAGCTATGTCAACACCATTATTTCCTTATATGTGAGCATAAATCTGAAATGTGCTTTGTTCCTGTTATATAATGTGCATTCATAGGTAAGTAAGAAATGAAAGTCAAATATAAAGACCACACATTTGGAAGCAGCATAACGTATTAAATGTTAATCTTTTGTTTCAGTCCTACCTTACTGAGGCAGAATTTCCTCTAAAATGTGGATGTATTCAGTGAGATATTTGCTTTTTCCATGAGACCTCAGATAAAAACATTAGAATGGATCAATTTTTCTGCTACCGACAAAAATACACAACATAGTAACAAACAAAACCAATTGTGATGAACAAAACCCACCGTTTAAAAGGCCATAGATTGTTTAATTAGCCAAAAGCCCGGGAGAAGTAGAATAAAAATATGGAACTCTTCATGAATTTGTGTGCCATCCTTGTACAGGAGCCATGCTATTCTTCTCTGTATCATTCCAATTTTAGTTTACGTGCTGCTGGAGTGAATTTGCAGCCTTAGCCACTAAGAGTACTTGTCTACCCAGAAACAAGTGAGATCAGCAAACAACCTGTGTTCCTATCCTGATCACACAAGGTAATCACCACTCCGTCTATCACAGGGAGAACCACACCTTTCAGACCACCGGGATTACTTACCATGCTTTCTCTGGATTAATTTTCACCTCCTCTAAACTGGTTTAGAAGCACAACAGTAGTTTCTGGATGTTTTGATAATAATATGAGAGAGCTTTTCTTTTTCTTAAGGGAAAAGATGCTTATTTTTATTCCTTATCACTTTATTCTTTAAACATTTTAAGAAATTACTCAGAATATGCAATGACTCATACAGCTGTTTTACCTTATGTTGACTTTTCCATCTGCTTTCAATGACTTGTTTTGTGTCTGGATTATAGATGTTCCTTACTTTTGTATATAATTATGGAACTGTGTTGCCAGATATCTCATATTTAGGCATTCCAGTGCACAATAGCTCTGGCAGTAAAAGATGCAACTCACTTTAGAGCAGTACAGCTTGAAAAGAAACAAGAGAACAGACATTCACTACTCCGATTAATGTTTTCATATATATTCATATTCATTCACAAGAGATGCTCATGTAAGCTAAAGGGTTTAATACAGTTCTTCAGTTTGCATAATTCAGTTCAGTGTAAGTGAATAAAACTAGGCTTTGATTCTTGAGAATTGTGTTCTTCAGCTTTAGATGAAACTTCTGTTTATAGGCTTCAAATAGACACAATATAACTAGTCAATCATTTCCCTTTGCACTACTGCTCCCATGTAATAATTAGAATTCTCTTTCATGTCAGTATATTTGTACTGTGTGCATTCCTCATGTTTCACCTGGCTGACTCCAACTCCCACATTTCATTTGGGAAGCACTAATATTTTTAATTTATGATGCTTACACCATCGCCTCTTACCCCTTTTATTCCTCATATGTTATTTCCATCACAGGCTTGTCTATTAAAATCTTGTCAAAGTTGTCTTGGTAAATTGAGATATTTGCCTTTTGTCTTTCTGTTAGGAACAATCTATGGATGGCATCTACAACCTTGCCCACAAAATGACACGTGTTTTTATTCTCTGCTCTTTCCCCTCTTCAAATCCATCATCTTCATCTATATTCAATTGTCTTTGCCATCCATTTATTCTCAGGAGACTGATTTTCAAAGTGCTCCTCAGGAAATATGCGCCTCCATACCACTATTTATTAATATGATTTAGACCCGTTCTGCAGAGCACTTTCATGCCATTTTCTGAAAACATTCTTCTCTATGTGCTGCGTGTTTGCATATAGACCTAAAGATTGTTCTCCACTTAATGAAATTTGGCACAGTTCCATTGAAGTCTTTATGATGAGTGACTGTGCTTTATTCTGTCAACTGAAACTTATTTCTCCTTCATATTATCATTCACATCACCTCCAAATACCTAGATGAGTAATAATTTATTAACATTTTGCTTTTTTGCTTTTGATTAGAATATAAATAAGACTAAAACAAAAGGAATTCAGGACACATTACTTTTGTCATCTCTGACAAATACAGCCTTCTAACCCTCAGGTAATTAGAATACACTAATTAATTTAATGGGTACAAATTATGAATTTAGTCATTGCTTAGGTTACCAAAAATAGTCCCGTGATAGACAATAAAGCCAGAAAGCCAACTTAGCAAGCTTTATCATCAGTTCTCTGATGTTATTTTAATATTTTAATTGACAGTAAAATGCTTTTTTACATTTCTCATAGCAAATGATGCATTTGGGCTTATTCTTTTTATTCATTATGAATTGCACTTTTAGTGCAACCCCATACATGTCTACTCAGAAGCCAACCTAACTGAGTTCCATGGGATGTATTCTTAGATAAGTGGGGATAGCGTTGTGACTTCACTCCTTATCTTATATTTATAATGAAACATACTGTTATAAAAAGCTGTTATGCACCAATGCATTGCTAAAAGCCACCATAATACCCCCATTTTCCATATGCTGTTTCTCACAATCTTGGACAGCATAAAGTAAAAAATAAAATAAGATGCACACATGAAACTTCTTTCTTTCTGACATTTAAAAGGATCTCATGCATAGGTGAAGAATCTTTTCACTACTCCAGAACAGGATCCTGCTGCAACTACCACACCTTACTCAAGATATCTAGTGTGGCAGCTTTTATGGTAGACTCCACGAAGGACGCATCAAAGTTTTCAGCATGCTCCATGGCTGCAGGTGTCATAGCAAGCCAAACCTTATGGCTTAAACAGTGAGAAGCAAAGACTGCTTCTAAAATCAACTTCTCTACAGTGTCTTTCTAAGGATTGATGCTCTGTGGGGGGAAAGCACTCAAATACATTCTTATTGAATCTAAAGACAAAAGAAAAGTTACTGTCACCCAGTGGGAGGAACAGGCTTTATACCCTGTATCAGACAAATAAGTCCTTTTGTCCCTACAGATAGCAAGGCACTCCAAATAAATACAGGCTAAAACAAATCTGGAACAAACTGGCATTCTTTTTTCCTCCAAAGGGACATCAGGGAGACAAGTTCAACACCTCCAAGCCCCCACACCAAACTGAAAACCACCAATGACTCCATCAGCGTTCAAGTGGGGGCTCACCTACAAGCATTCATACATACTTGGCGGCACTCAACAATGGATCAGTGGGTCCTCTATACCATCTTCTATGGTTACTGCATAGAATTCACCAGTCACCCTCAACATTGGTTCATCGATCTCCACCTCACCCTCCAAACACTGGATTGTGGGGGAATGTGTCCTTCATCTCCTCAACATGGCAGCAATAGAGCCAGTACCCACAGAAGAACACTTATTAGGCATCTGCTTGATCTTCATTGTAGTTCCCACACAAAGCTGGAGAGTAGTATTTGATCTGGGGTGTGACAGGGGGAGAGGGAATGCTGTTATGGAGGAAATGTGATCTGGGAAGAGTACCATGGGCTATGGTGGTCTGAGCAAACTTCCAAGTGCCATGTGACCGTGTTCTTCCTCATGGAATTGCAGCTCTCAGCAGAAGGTTTTCCATAATGCTCTGCATACAACATAATTTCTAAGCATTGTCGTTTCTTCCTTTGCCTGCTGATTTGTCCCATAGCAGTTCTTTACCCTAGATTGAGTCTTCTGAAGAGCATCTAATGTTGCCATGTCATTGTCACAGGCTAAAATAAATAAAATGATTTGTATACAGCACCATTTATCTTGGAGTGTTATGCCATATGAAGATTTCAGTGTCTAGCCATCTGCTTGGTAAGTTTGGCCACAATCTGTATGTAGAATCTTCATGTGTATGTTGCAAAGCTTATAAATTTTATCACCTTGATATGGCTAAGTCATGATAACTGTCATGTAGTAATGGCTCTGCTTCTGGTCTCAGCAAGAATCCAATCTGTTTAGGCCTAATGGTTTAGTGATTACTGCAACGATACATTTATAAGTAGCTCTTCAGCTGCTATGTGGAAATACCTACAACACTTTTCCTAACCAGTATAATATAAAGTTGGTCAACATTTACAATCCTATAAAGTCCTATAGGTTGTTTGTGTCTCTTCAGCAAGTGTATCTTGATGTCTTAAAAGTACAGATCATTCTTCACTTTGTTGTTGCTGTTTCACACAAAGCAATGCCTGGTAATACAACAAAGCATATATAAGCTGTTTAAATTATCTCAGAATTGTCCTTGAGAATCTGAATATGTCCTTAAATTGTATTGTTGTCCCTAATGGACAGTGATACAGCTAAATGCCAAATATGAGCAGTACATGCAAGAGTGTTTTAATAAATCATGTTATTAGGATAGAGTATACATAACCATGTATTTTTATTGAAAGAAATATAGATTTTATTTAGTTTGTATTTTTCATCAGTATTTTTCTAATACTGTTAGGCAGCAAAACTTTCAAGTCATTTACAAGGAGACCATTAACCAAGGTGAAATATAAAGTACTCTAGTAGATCTGTTTGGCTTGTCTCCATCTGTGCATTTTTGTCCTTTGTGCTATTTTTATTTAGTTCAGCTTGTCCTTCTATTTTATTCAGCATGTCCTTTTCTCAATGAACACTTGTGAGTGGGTTCGGATGAATAGCTGATACGGGGACTGATGTGGTAAAGCACTATAGGGTGATTTGGGGGAGGATGTGTGTTGAGATCATTTGTTTGAATGTTCTAAGGTATCACAGACTTGTAGTGAAATTTCAGCCCTCCATTTTCTGGGGGGTGGGGGATGGGAATGAAATTTGGATTGATCCAGGAGTTGGTGAGCTACATCATACTACTTCTAGGTTGCATCAACAGAAGTACAGTGGTACCTTGGGCTACATACACTTCAGGTTACATACGCTTCAGGTTACAGACTCCGCTAACCCAGAAATAGTACCTTGGGTTAAGAACTTTGCTTCAGGATGAGAACAGAAATTGTGCTCCAGAGGCGTGGCGGCAGCAGGAGGCCCCATTAGCTAAAGTGATGCTTCAGGTTAAGAACAGTTTCAGGTTAAGAATGGACCTCCGGAAAGAATTAAGTACTTAACTCGAGGTACCACTGTATAGTGTCCATATCAAAGGAAGTAATAGTTTCACTCGATTCTGCCTTGGAGAACTGTGTCCTGCTCTTGGGTCCTTCTAACTATACAGTTCCATGATTCTATTTGCTTGGGCCTTCACATCATTCAAGTGAACTATCACAAAAATATTCTTGCTCTGCTGCCACCACTGCTATTTAGTCTTGTTGGCCGCATGACCCAGAAAGCTGTCTGTGAACAAACACCGGTTTCTTTGGCCTGAATCTAGATGAGCGCCTCACCCCATAGTCGCCTTTGACTGGACTTAACCATCCAGGGGTCCTATACCCCCCATTTTTTACCACCAAAGAATCCCTAAGAAAGTATCTTAACATCATTGAATCCTCATGCAGGGCTCCAATGAATGAAGAAAGACATTGAAAAGCAAATCACTCTTCACTGACACTTTACTAGGGAAGT